TTGCCTAAGCGATCCGTCATGCAGTCCTCCTCGACCAAGGGAAAGTCATCCTCTCTGTGAGCTTCTCTTAACTCCGGGGCCTGGGATTCCTGAGGGCCTGCCTTGCCACTGAATACTGAAGCAAAGAAGGCATTCAGCAGCTCTGCCTTCTCTGCATCCTCTGTCACCAGGACACCCGCCTCATTCAGCAGCGGCCCCACATTGTCCCTAGCCTTCCTTTTGCTGCTGATGTAGTTGAAGAAGCCCTTCTTGTTGTTTTTGACATCCCTTGACAGCTTCAATTCCAGGTGGGCTTTGGCCTTCCTCGTCGCATCCCTGCACGGATTTCCAAAGCGGCTTACTGACCTCAAGAAAACTCTTCAGTGGGAAGTTTCATTAGAAATTTCACACCAACATGTACTAAGCATGATGCTGTTAAAAATATTTCCTGCACATTTTTCTTCAGTAAGTCATTTCTGATAAATTCTGGGAGACTGAAATCAACAAGACGGTAAAAATTAATAACAGAAATCAGACACCTTCACGTTTTGTTTCATTTGAAACAAATTCATTCTACCAAAGCTGCGCTTCTGAAAAAAAGGAACAACCGCACAAACCAAGGGATTGTCTCAAAAAATGGACATAGAGGAACAAACACCACCTCTGCACTAGCTTCATGCATGATGCTGTAACACAGACTGCTACCCAAGGTCCAAAAGAAAGACTGTACACCTTTACTTCTGTACATAGAATTGGTGAAATTGACACAGGAGTGGGGGAAGAAACTTATAGGGTTGGTACCACTTTGTAAAGAAAAACAGAGGAGTTACAGAAGAGGGCCTCAAAACATCACAGAAAAAAGGAAAATACACTTCCTGAGACTGTGGCACCACAATTATTAGCACCAAATCAAGTGCTACCGGACAACCCCGCAGCACAAATCAGACCTGGAAGAGGCACAAGCGTGCTGCTGCATTTCTGCCAAATTAGCCAGGGCACACAGCAGTGAGCTCACGGAAGACAACTGATGATACTGGATTAAAAGAAAAAAAAAATATGCAAGGACAAATAAAGCATGCCAGTTCCAAATTAAGCTATCCAAAACATTTGTGCAGATCTGAATGAGGCAAGTGTGTTTAGACTAGGTCAGTGCATCGTATACCCACAGCATTTTTGATCCAGCACATTAGATTTCCAGCATCTCGGACATCTCGGAGCCAGAGAGCTTAGTTCAGTTTGTCAAAGCAAACTAGAAGATGCCTGTCACAGCCTGTATCATCACCAGGAGAAAGCAGAGTATCCAGAAGACTCGTTAACCTAGCCAACAAGCACAGCAGGAACCAACAGCTCAGCCTTGAGTAAGCTGACGGGAAGAACGAGAGGCAGGACACCAGTCTTTCCAAGCACCTCTGTGAGTCTTCAAATTAAAGCTGGATACCCTTCCCAAAGACACATTTCAAGGTATGTTACGATATTCAATGCAGGAACAAGTCAGAAAAATATGAAGATGTGACCCAAATCAAAGCAGATGGTTTAGTAACCCTCTGAAGCCTCAAACTCCCTGAAAGTACAAGCACCTGTGTTCAAGCACTCTCATTTACTAACTGTATGAATCAACTTCTACACAGGACAGAAACATTATCAGTTTTCCTCTGGGGCTTTTTTTGTTTGTTTTTTTAACCAGCCTTGAGGAAGGCCTACAACACAGACAAATGGTAATGTGTTGTTACCACTGTATCAACAATGTTTTTCCCTGGGAACTCGCTATGCTAGTGGCTGCGCGTAACTACCAAATGGAAGCAGATGATAACATACTTCTCTATGATTAGTTTGCCAGTTGCGCAGCAAGGAGCACTGCTTTTACCATGCTAACCTAAGGGCCAAAACAGTTAACACTATGGTGCATTACTAAGCTTCCTTTTTCCTTTATAGTCATTTCATAGAAGCTCAATACAAACTTCTTGAGAATCTGAGGCAAATGTAAAACTGAAATACAAGGCACTCATTTCCTATGTGCCTGCTCTTCCTGAAAAATTTTGGATAGAGTTTCATTGTCCATGAATTTGCTATCTTAGCAACAACGTGGTCTTTACTCAAAATAGCAGGTAAGCAAAGCATTTCTAAAATAAGTTATTTTTGAGTTACACTTCTAATTTAATCCAGCTACAAATTCGAGTTACAAATGACGCGGCTGGATACAAAAGTCCCACGCAGGTTTCTTCACCTACAGAAGACATCACAAAGCGGCAAATCAGCCTCTTTCACACAAGCAAGACCTACTTTAAAATAAAGAGTAAATAACAGACTTAGAGAGACCTCTTTTAAAATATTAACCTCTTCGCTTTGTTGTTTTGCTTTTTACCTCTAGTTGTTACTAATTGATTTCTTTCATTCACCTCTTTGCCCTTAAGTGAGCACCTTTCAAAGGTTCATATTTCAGTTCAGTTAGCCTATCCTGCCCTTTCTTCTACTATTAATAGACAGATTCTGTACTGTAACAGGTGTTCTGCTTTGAAATTTTGCTGCAAACTCCAGGAAGGTAAAAAAACCTGTTAAAAGGCATTTTTGCAGGGGATTTTCAACAATATAGCATGTCCATTCACCTCCTCAAGCTATCTATCCAGGCTGACATTTTCCATGAAAACCCACGACGGCATCTCACGCATACACGCACAAATCCCACTGCACACTTCCTTGAGAACAAAATGCTAAAATCATATTTATTTCCAGCATCTAAATCTGACCGTTTATTGAAAAAACTGTAACAAGTCTACGACACCACACAGGATTTTTTCAATCTGCAAGTCCCAGAAAGCCTGTTTGTTTTCAGGAGGTGGCTGTTGGTGGAAGCAACAAATTTCTTCGGGATTTGTGAGCAGAGGCAAGAAAACCGGAGCTGAGTAAGCCTTTTGCTCCCATTGTTTCTCCCAACTGGTAGGAGGCTGTTCACATTGCTCTGCAGAAAGGCAGAGGAGACCGAGAACCCAGGAGATGCAACTGCCCCCTGCTAGCGCTCGGGGAATAAAAAAAGCGAAGCCGAGAGCCAAGGTGCAGAGGTGCAGCTTTAGCTACAGAGACGAGGGCAGCAGAGGTCTCGCAGTAAAATACTGACACTCGCAACCTGCCGCAGCGCTCAGCCGTCCCAGGCCCCAGCGCTCCTTGCCAGCAAGCACTGTAGCAGTCGCTACCAGACAGCGATAACTCACGGCAAACCCACAAAAAACAGCATCCAGGCGTTACTGATGCCGTCAGCATTTTGGATCAGACTGTCACACTGGCTGTCACACTGGAATTGATGATCCTGTTGGGGATCCACATAGCACCACAAATTGGGATTTCTAGGATAATTACCTTCCCTACATAGCAAACTGCAGGAGAAAAAACCTGAGAAGCTGCTCTTGTGAAATCTATGTTACAAAACATTAAAACTGCTACATCAAGCGTTCTGGAGCAGGAACTTTTTCAAATTAAGGCTTATCAAATACACTATCTTCTTCTCAGTTAAAAAAATAAATAACAGAATAAGTCTTATTATACTTTAATTTTCCAACACTACAGAAGATGCCTGACTATAGTAGGTCAATTTACAGGAATTAAATTACTGAATCTAACATCCAAAAGTAAGCACGTATGTACCTGTAGCAATCATGGACTAAAATTCTTTTTGTTATTAAAAGCACTCTGTATGTGGCCTGTCAGTTCAAAACAGTAAGAAAATCAAAATGCTTCCTTATCAGTTAAAGGTTACATGGCTTTCACTGAAATATGACTTTGTTACATCCAACACTGAAAAGTAGAGAAAACAAGTTAGAAACTCAAGTTCTACCAACTTCAGAAGAAACTTCCTGACAAAGACACATCCAAACCTGGCAGAAGTATTTCAGCTTTTGTCACACGCAACAGTTCAATCTTTTGAAAAGTAGTCACCCCACCACCTAGTTTTGAAGGTAACTCTTAATGTAACCAGTGAAGTTGTGCTTTCCCAGAGTTAGTCCATCTCCTTAGTAGACCTTTTTCCTCCTTGGTAGGCCTTTTTCACCAAAAGTTTAAGAAAGTTCACGCAGGAAATCCACTTCTGGTAATGCAGCACTATAACCACAACTCACTATTTCACATCTCGAATACACAGGATCTCAGATTTTCATGGGTGTGATTTCTTCCCAACCTAGGCACCATCCGTTCCTAAGAAAGACCTTGCAGAAACATACCATGAGATCATACAATTAAAAGATTGCTAAGTACAAAGGAACTGCAAATGAGTCAAGTGATCTTAGTTATTTCTTCTTAATACTTGACCTGAAACTTCGCATCTTGTAATGCAATGCTCTTGCACTGCTAGGTAACACCTAAAATTCAGCTAGCTTTCTCCCTGCTTTGCTCGTTCCCTCACAGTTTGTTACCAATAATAGCAGGTGAGATGAAGTCATCATGTGTATTTACTTAATTTCACAGTCTTGCACACAAGCAACAGCATAATTTCATTTGCATTTCAGGCTACTGGCAGGAGTAGAGTTTGCACTTCTTTTTGGATGTACGCTTAGTCCAAGCTGGTTTTACCAATTTCAGTACTAAAAGCAGCATCTGTCTTCACATGTTTTAGAAGAGAGTTCACATGAAGTTAGAGAGCACACAAGCCTGCCAAGTCAACATCTTTTCTCTGTCACTTTTCGAAGTGCAACTACTTAACGCACGTCTCCTACGTTTAATTAATGCTTATTTTTAACCCTATGACACAAGGGTTAACTACAAGATAGAACTAATAAGATCCTATGCAGCAAGCTATTTAAATAATTCCCAAACCATACACATCCACACCAACACCATTAGTACCATGCACAAGCACAGAAACAAAGATGTCACATTAACACTTACACCAGCACAGACGAAAGAGGAAGGACGAATAAGACCGTCTTCTACCTGGTAAACTTTAAAGTGAAAACAACCATTAAAGACAATGGTGGGAGCTAGAGAAAGTGACGAGACTCTGCAGCACGTGCACAATGGAGCTCAAAGGACAGGACCGTGAAAGGCCCGCAGACGAAGAGCCGCATGGTTCGAGGAGTCACCTTCACCTACAGCACACAGGTTTAGTCATTTCACCTGCTATTTTGGCTACCTGTCGGTTTCATTTGCGCTTCGCGGCTCATCCTCAATGCTTGATAAAAATCAAAGCTGATTCATGACATTGCAACGTCTACAACAGGAAACTGGCACACAGCACCCACTTGCCAGCACAGCGACCCGACAAGGAGCTCGAGCTGGCTGCTGGAGGAGTAAATTCACGAAGGTTTAGAATCACAATGGAGAAAATCACAAAACTTTCTATTTAATTACATTTGCATGTAAACGGCACACCTTTCAACGTTCTAGTAAAGTTCATCTCCAGTCACTTGCATACTAGAGCAACACGACAAAGTATTTTGACTGCAGATGTGTTTACACTACGGACTATGTAAACCGCAGCACAAAGTCTCGGTGGCCTGAAAAAAAGTTATGTTTTGCATTCATTATTTTTGTCACTTGCTGAATCAGAAGTGGTTCACTTAGTTAGGCACGCAGTTTAGCATACCAGAGTGTCTGCTAAAGATGTCGGTTTTCCAGACAGCCTACAGGTTGCCATAAGTCTCACACCTTTTTTCTCTTTATCCAAGATGTCAAAAACAGAGAGATTGAGTTTTAGATTTAAGAAAACGTTCCCTTTTTGTAAATTAAAATCTGATGAAAATATAATCAGTCCCTAGAGACAGCACCTAAAGAACTTTAATGCACACAAACATTTTTTCAAGTTGTTTACAAACAATACACCTACCAGGGGTTCAGAAAGACACAGTGCCTTTCTCACAGGCAGAGAGAAAATGTCTGACTGACAAGATGTCTCAGCCCCTTTCAACATTAGAAGGCACTCCGCTGCTACCTAATTAAGACACATTTTCTTCTCGTAAAGTATTAACAAAGCACATGTTTCCCCAACCAGCACTACATTTGTCATCCTTGAATAAATTACTTCTGTATTGTATTTCATGCACTCTTCCGGCCCACATCCTGCTCAGCACTGAATGCTTACTACTGGGAACAGATGAGAGGTTTGCCTAGACGAGCTCTGTTTCTTTGCTAGATGTATCGACAATGAAAAAACTGATTATCAATAGCCATTATGCTTGTAATAAAGTAAGCCCTGTGAAAAATCAGATGAGAAGAGCATATACAGGTGGGATCGGTCTCTTTCAAGGCATCTCCATCTGCACTGGCAAGGATGTACAGGACAGTGTATACAAGCACCAGGGTTACCTTTCACCACTTTAACACGTTACCTGCTTTGCACGCAGACCATGATCATTACAACGCTGAAACGATCACTTTTAGCCACTGAATTAGCAATCCCCCCCCCAGTCTAAACTCCTGAATTCCCAACTCGGAGAGAGAAGAAAACAATGCCATATTCATTGTATTTTCATATGTACTTTACGGAGGATTGATGCCTAACAGCATTGTATAAAATGAAGCTAAATTCCAAGCTATCCTCACAGCGCTCATAAACCAGCAGCCGAGCTCTTCCCAGGACAGTGGTGTGTGTGCCACTTGCGCTGTTTTTAAGGGGGTTATTTTCAGTCAGTTTCTAAAGAACCTCTTGAAATACCACAGCCATCGAAACAGCACAAACGAATCACACGCTGCTTCGCGGCTGCGACGCTGCCCCGCACCTCGCCGCTGCTGCACGGCGGCCGCGGAGGTGACGCCTGCGGGATCACCCCCGG